TGGTCGCTAGACATAAGTTACATGCAATGAAACAAGATCGTGAGGAGACAATACGCAATTTTGGAGCTCGTGTGAAGGGCCAAGCAAACATTTGCTGTTTATCACTTAAATGCCCTAACTGCAGTGCCAATGTGGACTTCTCCGATGAGGTTATGCGCGATATTGTGACAAGGGGCATCGCAGACCCTGAGATTCAGTTGGAGTTGCTTGGTGATAAAAACCAGAAAATGACACTTGAGGAGATATTCCAATTTGTGGAGGTCAAGGAAGCCGGTAAAAGGTCAGCTTCCTCCTTACTTGAGAGCCAGCCGGTGGATGCAGCCTCCAGCTCCTACAAAAAAATGATCAAAAACAAGAATGAAAAAAAAAAACTAAAGATCCTTGTGGCTACTGTGGAACAAAAGGTCATGGTACAAATGCACCTGCAAGGATAAGGAAGAATGTATGCCCAGCGTATGGTAAGATGTGCGACGCTGTCTTAAACAAAATCACTTTCTCAGGTCTGCAGCAGGGTGCTAAGCTAGATGCCAGACAACAAAACACTTTCAGTGAGACAGCTGCTACATTTGACGCGTTGTGTACTATCACAGACTCTTGTTCGATAAGTGAAGAGGGCATTGAAAAGATCCCTACGCCTAGAACATCATGCCTATGACAAACTATCTGACACATGGATAAACGTAAATCAAAACCTCAACCTACCAGTCCGCCTCCGTGGTCGAGGGTTTAGAGTCGATGACTTCTAATCTAGTTACCTCTCTGGCGTGGGTTCGATCCCCGGGAGATGTTTTTGGTAGTTTAGCGCGGAGGAAGGTAGTCTAGACTGGTGTAACTCTCCAGAAGAGGTTAGGAAACTCCCGCCTATATGATAAATATTTTTAAAAAAGGCAAAAATGAAACAAAAACAAAAAAACCCTCCCATAAATTTTAGTGCGGTTGTGGAAAAAACTATGCTCGGTTTCAAAACAAAATGCAAACCGACTCTCTAAAAATCCTTCCTCTTGGTTTGACACAGGCGCCAACTGTTACGGCAAAATGTATAAAAACCCTTGGATTCGGATCGGACTTTTTCCCAGTTAAAATGCAAATCACCCCGAAACCAAACTGGTAAAAAAATCATGGCCCACTGTGCTCCGCTTTTGTGCTACAAGGGGAAAGGGCTGCTGGGAAAGACAAAGAGTATGTACTGATTATGCGAAAAACTATTCTTAGTCGTGGCCCTCCCGAGTTAGGGGATCTTCCCCTTTTTCCTTTCCGGGCTCTACCCCCCCCAGCCCGCGCCACCCAGCAGAAAAACATGCTATCCCCTAAACCCCAATTTTCCCCCACACCCCCAGACAAAATACCATTTCCGCCAAAGATAATTTTTCCTCCTAAAGGAATCCTTCTCACCACTTGGGGTTACCCTTAACACCTGCCCAAACCTTTACCCTTTTAAGGGGCCCAATGAAGTAAATGATCGACCACAAGCGAGCGTGGCCACCCTACCCCCCTCCATACCATTCATTGGCGTGAACGTTAAAACGGGTTAGACCCAAAATGTAAGCTAGATGATAACCCGTCCTTTTTCCGGGAAATGGGGGCACGAATGGTTTGTTTTCCCAAAAAAAATGGGAGCCCCGATGTTGACTACAACCTAAAAACAGCAAAAAGAGACCCCTCATACCCTTCCCCCTTCCTCAACGCGTTCCCTACCCCATGGAAATAAAATGCACTGGACGCCTGAATGGCTACATGTGTACCCATCCGAAGAGGATCTACTTTACCAAATTTATCACACCCTTGGGGGAAATAAGGTATGAAAGCCCTCGGGGCCCTAGCCCCGGGCGTGCAAATAGAAGGGCGATGAAATTGTAGTCACAACCCCAAAAAACTAAAAGCTGATGATGCCTTTATTTGGGGAGACACAATAGAAGACAGTTTTTTAAACCCAAACCGTCATTTGGGGAGATTATGCGGAAAAAATGGATAACCCGAGCCGGAGAAATTACCTTTTCAGAAAATCAGTCGAAATTTGCAGGGTTTAAATTGGGCCCTTCTGTCAGACTTTTCCAAGATCCTACAAGCCATTTATTTTTCCCAAACCTAAAATTCACGATGCAGTTTTTTTGGCCTTTCAACCCGGTTTTTATAGCTTTTAGCATGACGGGAAAGGCCCCCTTTCGCCCCCTCCCCCAAACTAACCCATTTTTTGGACCAAAGAACTGACCTTTTTTTGAAGAATCCAAAGGTCATACGAGGGAAAACGAAGAAGGGGGAAAATTTTTGCCCCCATAGCCCACTTCTTTCACAGATTGGTCCAAAGGGGGATTGGCTTTTTGGGGTCCTCCAAAAAAAGCAGTTGTCAAAAAATGAGCCATTTTTTGTAGCAATGGGTGAGGTCCTTTTAGGTAGCCGTTTTCTCTGGGAAATCACTATGCTCCAGTAGAAGGAAGGCTTGGGGACTGACCAAAAGGACCCGGGGCCAGGGATTTGTCCTGGTTGCTCAAATTATCATTGCTTCGCCACAAACCACCTTTAAGCCCTTTGGCGACGATCATTAGAGAATATATCTAATGCTAGGCTCAGGGAACCTAAAGGGAAGAAAACCCTCAGGTTACGAAGTTTAGTATGGTTTACAGTTCCCAGTGCTAAACAATAAGGCCCAGACAGCCTGTCTCGGAACCGCTACTGGGACCCAGAACGGGCTTGTTGCTCACAGACGAATTGCTTAGTATCAGACAGCTAACTCGGGTATCTCAAACATTGACCTTTTGCACCATGAGAGAACCCTGGTATTCTTACCTCCGATTCCTCCATTGAGAGCAACTGTAGTTTTTATCAGCCATTAATCTCACATAGACTCCCTTGATTTAAAATCAGTTGACATTGGGAACAGGGTCCAGTAACTGCCACAGGGGCCAGTGATAATAATCTGCATACCCTTGTACATAACTAATTGAAATCTGGCCTCCTCCGGAGTCCCCGAGCAGGATTCCCAGATGCCTGCAGGAATACTATCAGTTTCAGAGACAGACCTCAACCCAATTGAATGGGTTTCTTTAAAAGGGGCATATAAAACCCCCCCGTCCCCCAGACGGGGCCTAATTCACTACTCGCTCACCCAAAGGGGTAATGCAATGGGTGCACCGCTGAGTTAGTTTTTCTGGGGAATAAACCCGACATACCCCTTTCGAGCATTTGCCAAATGTAACCCCGGCCCCCCTCTAACCCCCGGGCCCCCCTATCCCCCCACTACCCCCAAAAACCCCTTCCAGTGCTTAGGCTTTTTTTATTTTAAGGGGCACATATTAGTCTGTAGACCCTTACTTTTGGTGGCCAACTTAGAAAGGGCATCATAGTTCCAAAGGGTTTTTTGTAAACTCGGGTACATTCATTTTTTGGGATTTTAAAAGCTGTCTTCGGGTGGCCGGCCCGAATACAGGCCTTTGTCACACGTAATTTCTTACGCAGTGGGGAGTGCATCACCGTATCTCCTCGGTAGCATTCCCTCATAGCAATTGTCGAGCTGAATTAGGCGTGAAGACTGTAAAGCGTTTACTTATGGCAAACACTAATGCCGACGGTAATCTAGATACGGACCGCTTTCAGCGTGCAATGCTACAGTATCGCAATACACCCGACAGGGACACAAAAGCTTTCACCGGCAATGTGCGTGTTCGGGAGACCCATTTCGCGATTTCATACCCATCCACCGGGTCGTTTCCTCCCCCACACTACATGGCGTGAGACCCTTGATTTACGTGAGGCCGCTCTTAGGAACGACATATTGTTGTCATATGAAAGATTGAGGCTACATACTAAGAGACTCCCCGCACTCCGCATTGGGGACCATGTCCGCATCCAGAATCAGGTTGGGCCCCATCCTCTTAAGTGGGATAAGACAGAAGATTTAATTGAGGTGAACAATTCGATAATATGTCATTAGGTAACGGGCAGGTGTGTCACTTGAGGAACCCACAATTCCTTAGAAAGTTTATTTATTTACCCCCGGTTTACGCACTTACTCCCCCGAAAGGCATTCCCTTGCAACATTCATTTCCGGCCCCCAAATTTATGGATCCCCCACAAGGGACCAACTTACCCCAAACTCCCTGGTGTCACTGACCTACAAAACACAAATACCCATAGGTCCCCCACCTCGGGGGATTTCCGAAAAGGGTCAAAAAAACCCCAAGGCCCCCCCCACAGGAAAAACCCCAAATTTCCCCCCAACCAAATATGTTCAACGAAACCCCCCCTTACCTACTAACCCCCACCTAAAGGGGAATAACAAGGAAAACCCAAATGGACAAGATTTCAATGCCATAAGCTAATATACAATCAGTGTTTATACTCATCACCCCCAAAATTAAAACCCTTTAAAGATGTTCAATCACAGGGTTGGTTCTAATGTGAATTATTTTACTACTCAGAACAATGTAAACTGGTTATTATTGTGTAGTGACCATGACCATGGGTTATTTGTACCGTGACTGATTTTTTTTAGGTGGATTTTATTATGTGTGTTTTTCAGTTTTTTTTCTTTTACAAATTAATGTGTCAAAAACTTGGGGGCGAGAAATATAACGAATTATACAGGTGCACGGTACATGAAGTCAGGACTTCACATGGAGATTATTCCCCTGATGGGAAAATCCGCCATTTGTAACATATTTTACAAGACACAACATCACAAGTGAAGTGGCACAAAAAACTTTAATTGATAGGTAATTAAAACCCAAAATGTATCAAATTATTTTACTCCCTTCATTGTATTGCCTTTTCACGTTCATGGCTATATTATTTATTGTCAATTTAATCATTCCCTTCGGTTTGACATGGAAATGTGTATTGTCAACCTTGTGCTGTATATCTGTCACATTTAAAGGTTTTCTGTATTGTTTATTTTCAGACTGTGTTCATTGTGAATAATAAAAAACACAAATAGAACAAGTTCTTATTGATATGGTCTTTTTCACAGTTTGTTCAGTTACAAATAAATTTCACTATTTCTTTATATAAACATGATATTTTAGTGGAATGTCTTGAGCATATTATGATTTTATATTGAGGTGATGTATGGCCCATGTCAGTGGTTCAAATGTAGACATGGTGATACATTCTAAATGTAGAAATGGTAAACATTGTGTTGATATCTTTGATGATCCAGTATCAAAAGTCTTCATACAAAACTCTGCAAAACAAGATTTATAATGAATTTTATGATTTAATAATCTTAAAATCATAAATTCTTTAACCCTCACCACCTTAAATGTATTAATTAAATGGAAATGTCCATTTTTAAATATGGATTAAATCATACCTCATTTATATACATGTAGGGAAAGATATTCAAAATATGTACTGCCTTGAATAAACAAGAGGGCCATAATGGCCCTGAGGTCGCTCACTTGTATATAGGCCCCCCAACCCCCATCCCTCCCCCTAACGTTGCAGGGCCAATTTAACCCAAGGGCTTTTATTTGCACAAACTTGGTAGACACCCATAAGAAGATGTTTCATGCTAAACATCTAAGCTCTAGCTCATTGGGCTTTTTAAAAGAAGATTTTTTTTTAAGTTTTTACCGGCTATGAAACTTTGTAGACACTTACTAGAAGATGTTTCATGCTTAATATCTCAACTCTAGCTATTTGGGTTTTTTCAAAGAAGATTTTAAGTTTTTGCTATACACATATAAAGAAAATCAATGACCCCCGGGGCGGGGCCAATTTTGACCCCAGGGCTTTTATTTGAACAAACTTTGTAGACACTCACTAAAAATTGTTTCATGCTTAATATCTTAACTCTAGCTATTTTGGTTTTTTCAAAGAAGATTTTTTAAGTTTTTGCTATACACATATAAGGAAAATCAATGACCCCCGGGGCAGTGCCAATTTTGACCCCAGGGCTTTTATTTGAACAAACTTGGTAGACACCTATTAGAACATGTTTGATGCTAAATATCTTAGCCATAGCTCTTTGAGTTCTTTAAAAGAAGATTTTTTAAATTTTTACTATATGCATATAGGGAAAACCAATGACCCCCCGGGGCGGGGCCAATTTTGACCCCAGGGCTTTTATTTGAACAAACTTGGTAGACACTTATTAGAAAATGTTTCATGCTAAATATCTTAACTCTAACTCTTTTGGTTCTTTAAAAGACGATTTTTTAAGTTTTTACAATATGCATATAGGGAAAATCAATGACCCCCTGGGGCGGTGCCAATTTTGACCCCAGGCTTTTATTTGAACAAACTTTGTAGACACCTATTAGAACATGTTTGATGCTAAATATCTTAGCCATAGCTCTTTGAGTTCTTTAAAAGAAGATTTTTTAAGTTTTTACTATATGCATAAAGGGAAAATCAATGACCCCCGGGGCGGGGCCAATTTTGACCCCAGGGCTTTTATTTGAACAAACTTGGTAGACACCCATTAGAACATGTTTCATGCTAAATATCTTAGCTCTAGCTCTTTGGGTTCTTTAAAAGAAGATTTTTTAAGTTTTTACTATATGCATATAGGGAAAATCAATGACCCCCTGGGGCGGAGCCAATTTTGACCCCAGGGCTTTTATTTGAACAAACTTGGTAGACACTCACTAGAAGATGTTTCATGCCAAATATCTAAGCTCTAGCTCTTATGGTTTTTTAAAAGAAGATATTTAAAGTTTTTTCTTTCGGTTGCCATGGCAACCAGAGTTCTGCATGGAATTAAATTCTTTGAACAATTTTTAAAGGTGACCACCAAAGGAACATTCCTGTGAAGTTTGGATGAAATTGGCTTAGTGGTTTATGAGGAGATGTCATTTAAAGTAAAAGTTTACGGACGGACGCCGGACGGACGGACGGACGCCGGACGAAAAGCGATCACAAAAGCTCACCCTGTCACCTTGTGACAGGTGAGCTAAAAACAGTGCAAACTATAATCATATATAGTTGGCACAGACTGGTTGCATAGGTTACGAACCAGTAACTGTTGCCGAGAGAGGCCTAAGGCTTATATAACTTTTTCTAATTAGCCCTTACATGTAAACAATATTCAGTTGCAAAACAGTTAAGTTAAAATCAAATTGTATTTCCCGCCCCCCCCCCCCCACTGGATTGTATGTCGCATCAACACAGTATAGATCCTATGACAGCTTTCCAGCTTTACTGGTGGAGGAGGACCCCAGGTGTTCTTCAATGCATTATTTGAGGCAAAAACAGACACCTGAGTAGAACCACTGACATTCCATAGGCTTCCTCACATGAAAGTATCCACAGTCCATGTAGGGATTTGAACCCACAGCAGTAAAGAGCAAGTGGTTTGAAATCAATAACCTTAACCACTCGGCCACAAACACCCCCAATTACTATGTAATCAAGAATGAAATAGAAACAGTAGATACTTACCATCATGACCTATTTTGTTAATATCCAGAGATGACCTTGACCTCATTGTCAGAAGCCATGTTTGTTTCACAGAATGGTTATCGCATAGCCTATACACAAACCTCTCTAAACATGTGGTCAAGCTGGGATTAAACTGAAAGAATAAACGCTAGTAACTAGAACTGTCATAGTACTGACTGAGATACCTCTTGCACTCTGCTTTGTAATTAGTGTTTTATATTTTATAACCATCTAGCTAAAACATCATGAATGGTGTTGAAGGGAGAGAATGCTGTTAAAGGGAGAGATGTCTTGAACTGACATGAATGGTGTTGAAGGGACAGACCTAATTGACTAGTATAAAAGATGTAAAAGGAACAGATCTTAAAGCCTAAATTGAAAAGTGTAAAGGGACATATCTTATGGACCAACTGGAATAATTTTAAGGGACAGGTCTTATGGACTAATATGCAAGGTTTAAAGTGACAGAAATCATGATCTAACATGAAAGCTTTAAAGGGACTTGTCTCATGAACTTACATGCAAGGTGTAAAGGATTTGATCTTATAGACTTACAGGTAAGGTTTAAAGGGACAGTTGAACTATCTGATATCTTCTGCCTGGATTTCTTACAATAAAATTTATTATTGTACTTCTTTAAAAGTCTCAACATAAATATTAAATTAATAGAAACATAAGACTGCCCCACTAGTTCTTTTAACATTTTAAAGTCCATCACTTAGAGAATTATTCGAATTATCGTGTAATTTCATTCTATCATATCTTTTACAGAACAACAAAACGATTTTTTCACTCATGAAAAGCATATTTTAACTCAACAGGCAGTACACTACTAGAAGATTCACAATTATGATAATTAAGATATCAAGAACAATTATTTAAATCTTGAGCTTGTCATGAGATAATCTTTGTAGCAGAAATTGCAAATTATTGAAACACATAAAGTAAAATACCTGTTGCACAAACACTTCCCCAGTTTTACTGACTTCTTCTTCTAGACATTTCCATTGATCATGTGATAACTGGAGCATGCTCTGTACACTACTTCCTGTTAATGTTACCATAGCAACAGATGTACTGTCATCTACTATTGCACTGCAGTAAAAATAATATGCATGTAGTTATAATCATACAAAAAGTTAAGCTTTTCTGGGGATCAGGTTTAAAATTTACATCTAAACTGTAAAGGTCATATGGCAATTTTTCAGCTTTTTGGGGGAAGGAAGACCTCATGTGCCCTTTAAGCATTTATTATTTCAGGAATTAAGCAGGCACCTGAAATCTGAAGCTAGCTGAATGAATCAAAAGTACCTGTGGGATTTTAACCCGCAGTGGTGAGGGGCAAGTGGTTTGAAGTCATTAACCTTAACCACTCTACCATAGATGCCACACAAGCTTCTAAACATCATTTGCTACCAAAAGGCTATTGTTTGATCTTTAACAAACAGATGTTTAAAAATATTATAGCCACATTTCAGAAATTAAAATCTGAAAACTGAACTCAACACAATTGTGTGGAACTGTACTTGAATTAGAAATATTGTTCCAGCAACCTAATGAATATACATTTGTATTATAGATACCAAATATGATCACAAAGATATTAGTAACAACGCTTCAAAACTACTTTGTTTTAAGTAAGGTATGCATTTTAAAGATGGATGCAATCTTTTGTTTGTTGTTCTGTTCTCAGCACTGATTTCAACAATGTTTTCGGTCAAATGTTGAAGTCGTTTATCCTAACTGGCTTTCATGGTTAACCAGTTATTATCTATTTATCTGCCAGTGACCAACTACAAATCCAAACATGATTTCTGCATCTGCAGTGATATAAAAATAACCATTAGACTCAATGTCTGAGATCAAAGGTCATGTAGAAAAAATTAGGCCTCACCCGAGGATCAAATCAGCAACCCCTGGGTCACTAATCTGATGCTCTCCCTATTGTGCTAAGAGAGATCATATCAGCTAAATATCAAAAATGGCAATGTTAAGAATCTATGTTCTCAACTAAATATACAATAGATCAGTTTTTGTTTTGAGACATGGATATACACCATCAATTTCAGCTCTTTTGGGGTCCTTTTATAACATTACTATCAAAACCAGTCCATTTATATATAATTACCTTGCTCTTGCCAGGAACCTGTAAGATTCTCCCCTACTACATGCAGTGTTTGTACATTGTGAGTGAACCACTAGACTACCACATATCTCACATACACACTTCAAAGACACTTTCAGAATCTTCTCAATATCACAGACACACTGAAACACTTGACCAGGAGTCGAAGTCGTCCACAAATCAACCAAAGACAGTACTGGAAACTGTTTCTTTGTATCAGTTAGTCCAACATCTAATTCATTTCTAGCTTCACCCCTGAAATATTAGCAAGCAGGGTAAAGGAATTCTCCAAAACAATATCAGAAAGCCTTAACATTTACATAATTATGTGTTTATGATTTGGGTTATACAGAATTTATGTTATTTTGATTGTGTAGGAAGCTTAAAGTCTTTTAATAGACATGCTCTCGAATCCGTTCCTGGAATCATCCAGTACTGAGCAATGGGTGTAAAGTTTCTTGCTCAAGGGAACAATGGCTCGCCCCTGACAGAGTTTGAACCCGTGCAGACAGAGATCCTTAGATTACTGATCCAACGCAATAACCACTCAGCCATGCCGCCACACAAAATGTTTATTATTTAGTGATTCATATGTCAAGCTGATTTAAGCAATCAAGTTAATTAAAACCTGCACATTAACAAACATAGCAAATCATAAATACTGCAAATATGTAAAGATTTTTTTAAGTGTAATAACTAAAACAGCAACAACATTCACATTTTTTGTTTTAGTAACAACCTTGGAATTAAATAGAAATAAAGTAAAACTAAAGTTATTCACCTTAAACCTTTTTCAGAGTATAATTATTATATTATTTTGTCTTTTGAAACCACCTTTGCTATTATAAAAGCAATTAGAACTCATCAGAGAAAGATAGATTGGTTCTCACCTTTCCGACTGTGAAAACAGTATCTGTACACATGACAAGGGAACCAGTCTAGTGTAAATGTTATTTAATTGAGATAACTTCCTCTCCAAACCATAAAATCTGACCATGTAACCTGGAGTTAAACCCTTCTCACATACAATGTTTCTGTCATTTAAATACACCTGCAATAAGTTAACACATTTAAATGCCTTGAATGCAAATTTTGTATTCAGAATACAATAAACAGACTAGTCAAATTAGGATATCATTGGCTAGTTTGATAAAGATATACATGTACACTGCAACCCCGTTAAAATGCTCATTTTTTGGTCCAAGGTCTAAAACTGCATTATAATGGGGTTCTGATAAAACACTAATCGCAACATTACCAAAACAACCACTGATACATATAACATGTCTATAGAACAATTTAATGCCCAGCACTTTCACTTACCCATGACAGGGTTATTTCATAAAGGTCAAGAATTATACAACTACATGTATGTACAAATGACTTTTTTAGGAAAAGAACATGATACTTTAAAGTATAGCAAGAAATGACATTCAATACTCTTTGGTCCTACATTCATACTGTTACATACAATTTAATCATGAATCCCTCACATGATGACATTAACCTATACCAACCTAAATATCTTAAATGGACTTGTCTATCTTTTAATCTGGACAAAACCATTCATCATCTTAGGGAAAATTTCAAAGTATGTCATGTCTATAAAGAAAACATTGCAGACCATGATCAGACAGCACAGTATGGCATGCTGATTTTTGTCTTCACTAATTGCATAGTTAGAATCAGCTGCAATCTGCAGGGTAAAGGTTAAGAACATTAACTTTGAATGATATAATGGAATGTTTAATTTGCGCCTGCTTATGTTTGACTGCACTGGTTGCATGTGTAGAATCAGTTGCAGTTTACAAAGTGAAGATTTAATACTATATCTTAATATTCTTACCCAGATATCTTCACTCCCGTTGACATCCTGGACATGTAGTCTTGAATATATATAGCCACTATCTGCAAAAATAATCATAATATCAGTCTCTCTTTCATGCTTGTGATTATACAAACATTCTCAATATGAACTATTGTTTTCTTAACTACATATGCTATGAAACATTCCAGTAAGGTTTCATGACTCTAGGTCAAATCCTTTTTGAGTTACATGAGACACAAGTTGAAAATTGCAAAATTTTTACTAAGTCAAGGGCAATAACTCTATAAATTCTACATAAACCCACATGAAAATACCCAGGTACATAACTTCACATGCTGATCAACATTCCTGTAAAGTTTCATGACCCAATGTCAAATCCTTTTTGAGTTACATGAGACACAAGTTGAAAATTGCAAAATTTTACTAAGTCAAGGGCATTAACTCTATAAATTCTACATAAACCCACATGAAAATACCCAGGTACATAACAACACATGCTGATCAACATTCGTGTAAAGTTTCATGACTCTATGTCAAATACTTTTTTAGTTACAATGTACATGTGACACAAGTTGAAAATTGCAAAATCAAGGGCAATAACTCTAAAAATACTGAATAAATCCACACGAAAATACCCAGGTGCACAACTGCACATGCTGATCAACATTCCTGTTACGTTTCATGACTCTAGGTCAAATACTTTTTGAGAAACGTGCGACACAAAAGAGAACGGGCAGACGGACAAGGGTAAATCTAAATGCCCCCCACCCCTAAAGTTGGGGCACAAAAAACTGCCTCTGAAGCTCAACATTACATTTTTCCTATGGAACAATTTAAGAGCAGGATTACCTAATGTTTGAGATTTCACAAGTAAATCAGTTGGTTTTTTTTGTTTTTTTTCCAACCTACTATAGACAGATTGCATGCTAAAGTAAGCAGTCAATAAGGCAATATTGTACCACATAAATGAAAAATTTTATCATGAGCATAAATAAACTTTATCAAAATTGTAACCTTTAGTTTAAGGCATTCAGTTAAATTAATAACCTACTTAAATCTTTCGACATAGATTTTTGAGCAATTCCTGGTTTAACAAAAGTTCTGCTGATAATCTGACCTTCAAAACTGACAAACTTTTCTGTGAACCTGAAAAAGGAAACCAAAATGTAGAAATATATAACAGAAACTGTAAAAAATGTTTTGCCAATTTTATAAATGACTATCAAAAGACATTACTATCCTTGCATTACTAACAGTCGTAATGTCAGATCAATCAGCTACAGTACGCTCAGCGCGACTTTTTCAAAACCCGCGTGACCCCGCGGATGAGGTTTACCGCGGACGAAAATTTGCTCAGATATTGTCCGCGTGACCCCGCGGACAGAAAATTTTCACCACCGCGGACATAAATCGGCGGCTGAAACCGTTTCCCCCGCGGAACGCAGCGGTAAATTGCGGAGGAACGCGGCGGTCAAACACCAGTCAACGCGGTGGAAACCTTCAATTTTAAAAATTAATTACTGTATTTAAACATCAGTATACGTACGTACTGTAACATGTACTGTACATGTAACTATATGTAAAATTTGTTGTTTGTTTTCTTTTTTGTTGTAATAAAAGTACATATACAAATGCAGTGTATTTCTTGTTCTTCTTCTTGTTATTGTGTTGGGTAATGTATAACATGTATTCGACATCAAGATAAATCATTGTCGTCGCAACTTTATGGTAGTGAGAAACTTGAAGTCAAATAATGAAAAATTCGGCATATGACATTTATGAAAAAGATACTACAACAATTTATATGCCAGCTTTTGTTTCTTATTTAAAAACTTTGAAAACGTAACCCTCAACAATTTATTCAGGCAATATTCCAGGACGTCTCTTTCAATTGTCAGATGCGTTTTACTTTTTCTGTTTATTTGCATGTTGATCATAAAGTCTTATATTTTATTTGGAACATTAAAAGAAAGCGTTTATTTCACCAAAATATACATTAAATGATATTCTTGATTTATCTAATTACAGGTGTGAGCGTAATGTATATGTTTTGAAGTTTGTATCAACTGTTGAAGTTTATTTTCATTTTTGTTTTAGTAGTTTGTTTGTTTGTTCTTTTTTACTTTTTTTATGGATTTTTGTTTGCAGAATTTTGTTAAACTTGACGTTATACTTTTTGTTATTTTATTATGAACAGCATGTGCATACATGTATATAAGGCAAACAAGCACATGGCAGTTATTTTCTAAGAACTTCCATCGACCGATTTTCAAGTTAAAAATATTTCATTTTATTTTTATCTTAAGATATTATTGTTCATGGGAATAATAGTATTTGTAGACAACATGTAGTTTTAAGTACATACAATTGAACGTAATTGTCTTTGCTTTCTTGTATTTATTATATTAAGTTTTCATTGAAATTAATTCCGAGGATAATAATGTAATTTTATAATTTGTAAAAGGCAGCCTAATTATTATCTTTTAATGGGTGAATTTATGTCAAACAAATATACGGTATGTACAGTATACAAAAACTGTTTGGCAAGTGTCATGCATATTTCTCATGTCCATTTTCGACGGGGTTTTTACTGTAAAAAAACACAAACAAACAAGTCTACCCGTTTTTAAAGAATATAATTGCATACAAATAAAATCTTATAGATGGTTTAAATATCTTTTTCTTTTATTTCTAAGATATGTACATGTATTTTATTTATGTCTTGTCTTGTATTCACACTCATCGACCTCTTACAGGACATGTGTACTATAGCGTCAGTCATCATTGAGAAATCAGCACAAATGTCCTTTTTTATACTAAGTATCATATTTATGGCTCCCATATAGTTTAACAGCAATAATACTTTGAGAACAACAAGGAATGAAAAAGTAAAGATGACAGTGATAAAAGACGATTTCAGTTGTAAAAATATTGGTATGTGGACGAATAGTTTTGTGGACGTTTATAACAAAAATATTAAAAACAACAACAAAAACAGGTACAGCTGTAATTATTTTTATTTCAAATTCCGTTAAAAAAATTTAACGTATAATAACATTTAAGGAGACGATTGTGGTCAGTTTTCAAGTCATTGTGTAAAAAAGATGACGTTAAAAAATAATAAAACGTCTATTATTTTTGGAGGTTAATTTATACTGACCAACTGACCTTGGCGTTCCCCCGCGGGAAACGGGTGACTGATTTTATCGACGAATGAAGAACGGTCGTCAGAATTTTGTCCGCGGGGGAAACAACTGAACACCGGGGATCGCGGGGGAAATTAGGATTTCATCGCGGACGAACCCCCGCGTTTGTCCGCGATGAAAAAAAATCGTCCGCGGTGGTATCGCGGAAAAAGCAAAACCCGCGGTGAGCGTACTGTATCTAGGTCAATCAGCACATTCTGTAACAGACAAATGTGGCCCTATACTGTAGGCTGCTAAACTTTGTCATTTTAATATTCAAATCCTTTAAAGTGACATTATGCCCATCCAAGTGTAAATGGTGACTGTACATAAAATATAAAATAACCATACATTTTGCCAATATTGTCTTTAATATTATGCTCAGCTTCACAAATATAATCAATAACTCATGTGACCCACACAATATTCTATGAATATCCTTCGTAATTTACCAGTTAATGCTCACTTGATAAAAGGTGTGGGGCAGTCTTTTTATATTTTATGCAGTTTTTATAATCACTTGTCATTTAATTAATCAATTATTGGTCAATCACCATTATAACAGTAAATCTTTTGAAATATTTAGCTAATTCAGCTAACCTTGTCGGTGTAAAAATAAGCATTAATTCAAAATGAATTGTTTAAACTTTTAATAAACATGGATAGTTTGTTGCATAGATGGTGTTATTGGAGACACATCTTTAGTAATTATAAAATGAATTTCAAAGAACTAGTAGGTAAACCACTTACTCTGGTTTTAGAATATCTTGTAAAGAAACAAGACAGGGTGATGACAATGTGTCAGACTGAGGTGAATTATTCCACTGCCTCGTAATACATACATTCTCATTGACTGTAAGGCATCTTCTTCAATAAAAATAAATATATCTACATGTCACAAAGCGAAGTAATTCAATTGGAGTTAAAAGTTTATTAAAAATAACTCAATAATTTCAGTTCATGTGTTTCTAAAAAAAACGTTTTCAAAAAAATCTGATAATAATCATAATAATTATTATGACCTGATGCTATCTTTATTTAATAATTCAGAAAATTCTCAAAAAGAAACTGATTCTACCTTTAATGCAACCAGTACAGACCAAAAATCAGCAGGCACGACAATACCATCTGATTTTGATTTGCACTGTTCACTATCCAGTCAGTAATTTTTTTGAATTTTTCCCCTAAAAAAATGATCAATGGTGGACCAGTCCATTACAGATATTTAGCATGGTAAGGGTTGAGTCTATTCAGAATTAAACTTAGATTCATCTTCATTTAGTTTACATTTGTATATACAAACCAGAAATAAAACAATCATTACTAATCGTGCTTACCTTGACTTGTTTTTCAGCAACATTTTTTTCAGTTTATCATGTGACAATGAGACAGAGAGAACTGGTTCCCCATGTGTAGACAGAATGTAAATAGTTCCAATATACAATAACGGGTACCATTTTATTGATTTACCTGAGAACTCAAGGATAACCTGAAAAACATGCTTCGTAATAAAGTTTTCCAAATGATCTACCGCATTGTCCTTGTTAACAATAGTCCTAAAAAACGCCCCTCCCCTAATAAAGGCCCCCCCAGGCTTTTTGATAAGGAAAAATATCTTCTCATCAGTGCTGAACTCATAATTAAAGCCATCATTTTATTCAAATCATTCAGAATCCATTTGAATATATAGTAAACACAAATATGTATAATATGAACTTTAAAACTTTAACACTTTTTAATGTTATTACCAACACTTGCTAACACTAAATGTATTTACAGTGATTTTTGGATTAAGGAAAAACTGTGTTGTAATAAAAGCCCCCCCTTTTGGAAAATGTTTAGCCCCCGGGTGCGTTTAATAGGAATTTTACGGTTTAAACCTATTAAAATACAACTTGCTTGGTTACATGTAATTCTGCAGGTAATATTTCATATTTATCTACATAAAATGAGATTGTATATTTGCAACAAAGATCATTAAATCGACAGTTTTGTGTAATATTCAGATACAATTTTTCTTAATGGAAGTTTTACAAGATACACATGTACTAAACTGCAGTATACCAGCATCACAATGTTTCTGAAACTTTAACATGTAACTTGATCATCTCACATTTTTATAACATTACATCTTAATACAGATGCATATTAGGTATAAGTAACCCACCATTCAGACATTGTATATTTTCAATTATTGCAAACTTTAACATACATATTAAAATGATTAATTTACCTTTTCCAGTTCTGGCCTGTTGATGATTGCACAGTCTACATTAAATCTTCTTTGCCCATCTGCACACATTAAACTTCCCTTATTCTCTATGTAGATAGTTACATGGCTAGAGTCATGGTTATATCTATCATCACTGCTATCACTATGGTTACCATGCAAGTTTCCTCTCATATATTCATGTTCTACCTCCCTGTTGTCTCTTACGTTACCCTTATCTAAAAGTTTACCATCATCAATTCTTGGCATTTTATTTGAAACAGAATCACTTTTGATACCTGAATGATTTCCAACAAAAGCTCTCTTTCTGTTGGATATAGGTTTTACTTTAAATGCTGATTTGCCAAGTTTAAATGGCAAGTTGTTTGTCTTTACAGTCTCACTTCCTGAACTGAGAGGATGATTTTCATCATATTCGTTAAGCACATTGATTTCTGAAATTATACCTCCATTTGAATTACCATCACATAACGAGGGATCTAGATTATTTCTGTTAAGAATCATAGAGCTTTTATCACAACATTCCACCTTCCTACAGAACACTATACTTCCATCTTTCTTCACATGTTTATGTAAGCTTGACTTTTTGAAATCTAAAGAAATTTCAGACTTTGATAACTCAGTATTTATTTTGACACTTGTGACTCCGTCAGTCTGTTCATTTTTACACTTTACATGATCTGAACTCAAAGATTCACGTCCACAATAAATATCTTGTTCAGAGTGACACACCAGTTTTATATTAGCATTTTCTTCCCTCATTGCACTCAGTTCTTTGACACCATTACTAACTTTCTGTTCACTTTTTGAAGGACCTACTTCAGGATTGTTCCCTATATACACAACATTTTTCATATCTACAACCAAATACTTGTCACAAGCATCTGACCTTGACCTTTCTGTTCTACTTAAAAATTTAAAGTTTTCTCCATTACTGGTTACCATGGTTTCACAAATTATTTGATACATTTTAAGAGCCACTATTTTACCCACACAACATGTGTGCACATAGGGACATAAAAATGTGTCACCAATTTCAATATTATTACAATCACATGGTCCTTCACATAAATGAGAACAGGGTTCATTTATTCTATCATGGTAACAACAAGTTACAAAGTCAATACTTCCAGTATCATCATAAAGAACAATCTGTCCAGTACTGTTACTCACATCTATAATACCAACAAGTACCTGAAATAAAATAGGAAACAAAGTACGTTGAAAATCATGATGAAAAAACAAACAACAAGACCTGTCAGTAGTCAGCAGCATGCTCAACTATTCTCAGTGCTTGATAGTATATCAAGAGCCTAGGTATTGAAGTATTTTCTAGGTTAACTAGAAATGTGTCCATAGGACACGGATGCCCCCACACGTCACTGTTCTGTCAATCTTATGACTCTAGGTCAAATATTTTTTGGACTACATGTGCCACAAGTTGAAAACTAAAAATCAACAAAGGGCCATAATTCCGTTAAATTTGGTCGCAGCAAAAATTCCTTCCTTTACTACCATCTACACATTAAGGTTGTTAATCCCTGGAAGTTTAAGCAAAATCTGCCATCCGGTTTAAGAGGAGTTGCGTTCACAAAATTTCTACATAGTATATAATGAAAATCAACAAAGGGCCATAATTCTGTTAAATTTGGTCGCAGCGAAAATTCCTTCCTTTACTACCATCTACACCTTAAGGTTGTTCATCCCTGTAAGTTTAAGCAAAATCTGCCATCCAGTTTAAGAGGAGTTGCGTTCACAAAATTTCTACATAGTATATAGTGAAAAAATCAACAAAGGGCCATAATTCTGTTAAATTTGGTTGCAGCAAAAAATTCTTCCTTTACTACCATCTACACATTAAGGTTGTTCATCCCTGTAAGTTTGAGCAAAATCTGCCATCCGGTTTAAGAGGAGTTGCGTTCACAAAATTTCTACATAGTATCTAGTGAAAAAATCAACAAAGGGCCATAATTCTGTTAAATTTGGTCGCAGCGAAAATTCCTTCCTTTACTACCATCTACACATTAAGGTTGTTCATCCCTGTAAGTTTAAGCAAAATCTGCCATACGGTTTAAGAGGAGTTGCGTTCACAAGATTTCGGGACGTACGGACGGACTGACGGACGGACGGACGACAAGTGCAATGCTATATGCACCCACATTGTGGGGGCATAAAAAGGGCCATAAGTCTGTCAAAAATCTGGACCTTAATCAATGACCTTCTATTACACATTAAAATAAATGTTTGAAGTTTTAACTCATGCCCTTCAGTACTTTTGGAGATACCAACTTGAACTTAAAAACTTCATCAAATTGTGACACAGACGCCAGGGTGACTACAATAACTTTTCATATTTTTCAAATAGTCAAGTTAAAAACTTATTTCAAATTGTGTATTCTGCTAATTGAATAAACATTACAAAAAGTTGCTTTTTCTTCTTAAAGAAATAAACTAAATGACACACTTCATTCAGACTCACAGCCAAGTATGCATACAAAGTAAAATTAAATACATGTATTTCATACTTGTTGATCATAAATTAAAATGATACGTTGATAAAGGAAATAACCTGTTGAGATATCTGCTTAGAATATTTCCATTCCATTTCATCAGTTGAAACCTCTGGTATGCTGTTTTTTAAATCAGCAACAGTTGTAAACATTCCAGTCACCTGAAATGTAAAGATCATTTCCAGTCAAACTCGGAGGTAACTATAATTATATGCAATTATTATGAATTCTTACTCTAAATAAACATGTGTTTCCTATTAACAAAATTAAGGTGACAAAGCCAGTTACTTACAGAGAGTTTTAAGTCAGTAGACAATGAAAAATTTCTTTTATTTCACATACACTTGGCAATAAAATATAAATAAGTAAATTTTTAATCTGTAAATATAAAGTTGAATATGGAATTCTCTTGCTAGCTACTTAGTCTTAAAACTTTTGCATCAGGATCAGTGGATTAAACAAATCCTGCAGGATGATAGTAAAGTCCTTATTTTTTTTTTTTTTTTTTTTTTTTTGTGAAAGTAAGTATATATATACCAGTACAAGTATTACAGCCTATATCACAAATATACATATAATATAAATTACATGTCATAAATGTTATATAAGTTATCACTTTTATATACATGTCTGTCATCAATGCTACAGAGTTTTTCCATAAATACAATTATTACCAAACATAAAGTAATGCAATTACCGTATCACCTCCAAAAAGAGGACATTTATGTGGTGTATTAAGGAACTCATCAATTACCGTATCACCTCCAATAAGAGGACATTTATGTGGTGTATCACCTCCAATAAGAGGACATTTATGTGGTGTATTAAGGAACTCATCAATTACCGTATCACCTCCAATAAGAGGACATTTATGTGGTGTATCACTTCCAATAAGAGGACATTTATGTGGTGTATCACCGCCAATAAGAGGACATTTATGTGGTGTATTAAGGAACGCATCAATTACCGTATCACCTCCAATAAGAGGACATTTATGTGGTGTATTAAGGAACTCATCAATTACCATATCACCTCCAATAAGAGGACATTTATGTGGTGTATTAAGGAACTCATCAATCAGCATTCTCTGTGGATGCTCATTTATCTGGTCTTCCTCATTCAACCATATATGTATGAGTACCTTGGTAAATATACTCTCTGTAAGTCTACAATATCATCAACATTATCTATGATACAGTCTTACATAAAACAAAATAGTAGATCTACATGTTATATAATATGTAAATCATGAGAGACATTCAAATTCCTAGAAAGTAAGGACATTTCATTATCATTGATAATGGACTAAAAGGATTCTAACAGGTTTTTTTTAAATTGAATTCCAACAGTGCTTTCATCTTAAAAAATAAAGGTCAGACCATTGCTTTCACGATCGATCAGCAAAGCGTTTTTATTTCAAAATCAATGTCAGCAGTGTTCTATATTTCAGGGTCAAGCAGTGTTTTTTCTTAAAATCATGATCAGCACAATGCTTTATCTCAAAATCATGATCAGAACAATGCTTTTATCTCAGAGTCATGGTCAACACAATGCTTTTATCTCAGAATCATGGTCAACACAGTGTTTTCATCTCAGAGTCATGGTCAACACAATGCTTTTATCTCAGAGTCATGATCAACACAGTGCTTTTATCTCAGAGTCATGATCAACACAGTGCTTTATCTCAAAATCATGATCAGAACAATGCTTTTATCTCAGAGTCATGGTCAACACAGTGCTTTCATTAAAGAATCACTGTCAGCGGAGTGCTTTACTTTAGAATCATAGTTGAGCTGTGCTTTATTTCTCAAAATAATTGTCAGGACTGACCTTCAACCTGCTAAAGAGCTTTGATTTGCATTTCTGTTGGATAACATAATGAATCTTAATAGTTATGATAAAAGCATACTACATTACTTATTTTGTCTAGTAATCAAATTGCCATTTTAATCACTTAATCCAAGGTTAAAGACCTTTGACCTTTGACATGGGCATGGGCCTCATTTAAAGAACTCTGCTGAGTTATAAAAGCCTACAAAATGAAATTTGAATTTCTAAGAACAGATTAGGCACTAAAACGGAAAGATATCCTAAAGATAATCAAGAAATATACTCAGAAATTAATTGAAAATTCTATTTTTCTATTTTGAGTCATTTTTATACAAGAGCAAGAATTATTCAGGAACAAGGGGGCCAAGATGGCCCTAGATCGCTCACCTGACGCATCGAACTCATCCAAACAATTACCGAGATAAGCATTCTGACCAAGTTTCATGACAGGTGAGTAAAAAATGTGACCACTAGAGTGTTAACAAGGATAATCCATATCTGAGCAGTGTGACCTAGTTCCTAACCCCAGGTGACCCATATTCGAACATGACCTAGAAATCATCAAAACAAACTTTCAGACCAATTTCCAGGATATTTGGATCTTAACAGTAGCCACTAGAGTCTTAACAAGGTTTTTCTATTTTTAGCTCCTGTGACCTAGTTCTTCATCCGAGATGACCCATGTTGGAACTCATCCGAACAATTACCTTGACAAGCATCCTGACGAAGTTCGATGATAATTGAGTCAAAAATGTGACCACTAGAGTATAAACAAGGTTTCTCCATATTTGGGCGGTGTGACCTAGTTTTTGACCTCAGGTGACCCATATTCAAACTTGACCTAGAAATCATCAAAACAAAGTTTCAGACCAATTTCCAAGATATTTGGAACAAAACAGTAGCCACTATAGTGTTAACAAGATTTTTCTACTTTTAGCTCCTGTGACCTAGTTTTTCATCCGAGATGACCCATGTTCGAACTCATCCAAGCAATTACCTATACAAGCAGCCTGACCAAGTTTGATGATGATTGAGGCAAAAATGCGACTGCTAGAGTGTTTATGAACAAGTGTGGGCGGACAACAGATGAAGGACATTCAACGATCCTGAAAGCTCACCCTGAGCTAACTCAGGTGAGCTAAAAAACAGAGTGAGTGAATAATCTGAAATTTTGCACACAATTTATTTATATAGGCCTACATCAAATGGAACATTAATTTTGAAATTGTTTCAAGTTCCGTCTACTGTAGTCAAAAAAAAACCTCAGTCCCTAATATAAAATGGTGTGAAATTCAATAGTTTAAATCACATGATTATAAAACAAGTTATAACTTTAGCGATCATTTATTTTCAAATGATAATGAGCTTGTAAACATATTTGTGAACTGAAAGTGTAGATAAAGTTATAATCTAATTATTGCTAAAGTAACTTACCTGACACCTAAGGTATTCAGGAACTGTTTTTTCAGAACATTGCGAAGTGTAAACATATGATCAAGCTGTTTCTGTGACTGGCCATGAAGATACAACAACTTCTTCATTTTCTCGCTTATTTTCACGCCATTTGTCTGAAAAAGTTCTTTAATACATTGTTTACATTTTTACAGCAAAATCCAACGACAATCTACATTTCGCTATAATATATTGTACAAAAATAAACAATGGTGAGCAAAATGATGACCCAAATATATCCAATAAATTTTTCAAAAATTCATATGCATAGTACTTTACTTTTATACCACAATTAAACAGACAAAACACATCTTTGAGGCATTTTTTTGTACAACTCTTTGAGCCATTTTTCTATCTTTTATATATTAGGTTACTTGCTAGGAATCTAGTATAATAATATTCATATTATTGAATTACCTGTTGCTTAGTTTCATTGCTTTCTTCCACACACTGTACTTTAGTCAGCATACAACAGTATAAAGTAACTCTTGGGTACTGAAATTATCATTTACAAATGCCACATATTAATACAATGCACCTGTGCACCTCTTAGTGTGAGTTAATTTCAGTACACTTCTAAGTGTGAAGTACTTTTGTGACGATTGTTCTGTTCAGCCTAGATTCTTTAGTGATATTTAGTGGTTTTGTACCTAAATTATTGGTAAATTAAATTGTAAACAAATATGTTATACTGTGTTTAAATGAAGAGTTTGATCTTTTATAAGTAAGTAAAAAAATACATCAATACTACCTGATTAGATTTAACAACTTATTCGTAGCAATTATTTGATATAACGGGCATAATTTTATTATTTGTAAAACATCAGATCAATTCGTCCTTAAAATTATTCGAACTCAATACCATTCGTACTAATATTCGACCCATTATCAATATCTCTTGGATGCTTGATTTCTTCAACTTCAGTAAACGATCATTAAGTATAACAACGTTATTGGGTATAAATAGAGCTCAAAGCTGTGGACGATCAGTCTCTGTCCAGCTGCCGAAGTGTCAACACCACAGAATTTATTAATTAATATTTTAGTTTAATTACTTGGGTTCTTGCACTATTTACGAAGTATTTCAATTGCATCAATTTAACATTGCGTTAGGTGTAATTGTTATTACTAAAGTATTGAAAACTCGATATCCAAGTGGTTTTTCTATATATATTAAATAGCCTAAAAAGTGTCACCCCAATTTTATATCAAGTTCAAGGACCACTTATTATCTTTCAAGCACATTACTGTTATAACATTAGTTAATTAAACTTGATTCCAAAGTTTTAACAAATTATTGTATAATCATTTGTAACCAATCAACTGGCAAAGAAGCCATAAGAAAAATTATATATAACAGCTAGCCCGTGCACGTTACAAAATTGGCGCCCAACGGGGGACCCTTCTAGCTTTAGATAGGCCAACTTACCCTAGACTTTAAAAAAAAAACGGGGGACACATCTAGCTTTAGATAGGCTTACTTACCCTAGACTTTTAAGAACATGGCTGAGTATAGAAGTAAATGGTCCGATGAAGACTTTTGTTATATGTACGATGAAATGGAAAATCTTAGGAATGAGAATCGTAGGCTGAAACTCCAGAGAGAGATTGATAGTCTACAAAGACAAATTGACCAGACAAGTATTGAGCTGGCTACATCAACACCTGCTATGGTAAAAACAGAGAATACTTATGAAGGTTTTACACCAAGTAGAAAGACTACCTCAAAGCCTAGACGTCTTTTGCCTTCATTGCCTGTTCAAAGTGAAAAACATGAGAGGGATGTAAATGACAGAATGATCACCCAAAGACTGAGGATTGTTGACTTGCATCCCCCTGAAACTCAGAATGACCAACATAAATTGGATAACTATCAAACTTCAGACAAAAGTTTTGATTACAAAGTAAAAGATTCAAGGTTTAGTTTCATGAAACCTGCAACTTATGACGGAACTTGTGAATGGACAAACTATAAAGCACACTTTGACGCTTGTGCAACTTTGAATGGTTGGAATGAAAATGAGAAAGGTTTATACTTATCTGTATCCTTACGAGGCCAAGCTCAAGGAGTGTTCGGAAATTTGACATCAAAGACACACAATTATGAGGAACTTGTGAGAGCACTCGAAGATAGATTTTCACCAAGAAATCAGACTGAGTTATATAGAGTTCAGTTGAGAGATAGACATCAAAAAGCTAATGAATCAATGGCTGAACTTGGACAAGATGTTCGTCGTCTTGCAAATTTGGCGTACCCATATGCTCCTATAGAGGTTCGTGACACTTTAGCTAAAGAAAAATTCATAGATGCACTTGTAAATTCAGACATGCGTCTCAAGATCAAACAAGCTAGGCCCATTGATTTGAATGATGCAGTAAGGCATGCTGTAGAACTGGAAGCTTTCTACAGGGCTGAAAAGAAGCAGCAAGGAATGATCAGAAGTATACAGACAGATAACTTGTATAAAGAGTTTGAAGAACTTAAAACTGTTGTATCTTCTTTAAAACAAAGTGTTGACAGGATGCAGCGTCAAGGAAGATATGAACGGCAAGATAACAAATATGTTAAGACACCAAATAGTTATGATCAAAGGCGTGTACAACATTTTCCACAAAAGAATTTTCAACATCGTTATTACAATGAAAATAGACAAAGAAAACCTTACATTAATACCTCAGTTTATAAGCGATCTGATAGTGGTTATACAAGAAGAAATCGTACAGGGCGAAATTGTAATGAAGTACGTGGACAAAATCTACAAAATAGTAGTACTCACGCAACTTACAAAACAACAAGGAGCGGAAATGAGAAACAAAATATTAATTCGTCAGGACATTTAATGGCTGGTTTATATGCTTATGGAAATGTTGGTAATGTGTCAGTCAATTGCTTAGTAGATACAGGAGCTACCGTTACTGTTATCTCAGAAAATCTTTGGCTTAAACTTAAGAGCAAGAACAAAATTACACCTTTTGAACTTTCTGTATCATCAACAAGTGGTGATCTATTAAAAGTCAAGGAACAAACAGAGATAGACCTGAGGTTTAAAAGACACCTTTATAAGACCAAGGTTGTAGTGGCTGAAATCGAAAATGATGTTGTTTTAGGTCTTGACTTCATGCAACAGCATGGTGTATGTATTGATGTTATTGGTAATACAATGAAATTGAAAGGGCATATTGTTAATTTATATTGTACCGGTAAAATAGGGTGTTTTGGCATTGATCTGTCTGATCAAGGCAATAAATCTTCTGAATCTAAGACGATGGTCAAATGTACAGAGACAGAACCTGAAGTTAAGCAGAAAGATAATAATCATGTAGAAACAAAAAGAAAACAACGTAAAAATCGAAATAGGGCTAAGCATTATGAAAGTTTTATTTTAAGTACTTCAATGGCGGGGACAAAGACAAGCGAAAGAAAAGGAGGCAGTGTGAAAAATGGAAACAAGATTATGCGACCACTGTGCCCTGTATGTAAGACGAGCATTCCGGAGACTGTAAACTTCGAAGGACATATAACTGAATGTAGAAAGAGAGATGAAAAGGGAAGAACCTGCACAATATGTAATAAGGTTTTTCTTAAATTACAGTATCTGAAGAGGCATATGAAAGTAAAGCATGGGTTGGATTTTGATTTGCAAAAATGACAAAGAGGTTCAAATTAAATAGAGATAAACAAGTTAAGAAAAGATATGTGAAAGAAGAAGACTGGGATCAGGATCCAAATATTGAACAATGTGTTTCGTTTATAAAGTATGATAATTCTGGTGATATAACCAGACTTTAAAGAAAATAGATAATGCATATGTCTTTGTTTATTTTATTGTGTAAAAATTATAATATAGTTCAAATGATACGTATCATGCGGGACGCATGAATTTTGAGAGACGGGGGTAATGTGACGATTGTTCTGTTCAGCCTAGATTCTTTAGTGATATTTAGTGGTTTTGTACCTAAATTATTGGTAAATTAAATTGTAAACAAATATGTTATACTGTGTTTAAATGAAGAGTTTGATCTTTTATAAGTAAGTAAAAAAATACATCAATACTACCTGATTAGATTTAACAACTTATTCGTAGCAATTATTTGATATAACGGGCATAATTTTATTATTTGTAAAACATCAGATCAATTTCGTCCTTAAAAATTATTCGAACTCAATACCATTCGTACTAATATTCGACCCAATTATCAATATCTCTTGGATGCTTGATTTCTTCAACTTCAGTAAACGATCATTAAGTATAACAACGTTATTGGGTATAAATAGAGCTCAAAGCTGTGGACGATCAGTCTCTGTCCAGCTGCCGAAAAGTGTCAACCACCACAGAATTTTTAATTAATATTTTAGTTTAATTACTTGGGTTCTTGCACTATTTACGAAAGTATTTCAATTGCATCAATTTAACATTGCGTTAGGTGTAATTGTTATTACTAAAGTATTGAAAACTCGATATCCAAGTGGTTTTTCTATATATATTAAATAGCCTAAAAAGTGTCACCCCAATTTTATATCAAGTTCAAGGACCACTTATTATCTTTCAAGCACATTACTGTTATAACATTAGTTAATTAAACTTGATTCCAAAGTTTTAACAAATTATTGTATAATCATTTGTAACCAATCAACTGGCAAAGAAGCCATAAGAAAAATTATATATAACAGCTAGCCCGTGCACGTTACACTTTTTGTACCTTTCAGTGTGAGGTACTTTCTCTGCACCTCTTAGCGGAAGGAACTTTCTGTACACCTCTTAGTGTGAGGTACTTAACTGTGCACCTCTCAGTGTGAGGAACTTTCTGTACACCTATCAGTGTGAAGTACTTTCTGTGTACCTCTCAGTGTAAAGTACTTTTTTGTGGACCTCAGTGTGAGGTACTTACTGTGCGCCTCTCAGTGTAAGGTATTTAACACTTTGAAACAAGAAAAAAAAAATAAACAATGGTACAAACAATCATTATCACCTATAACATTTTGTCACCTTAGTAGGGTTGGACACCGGTTCCCGGTATCGGTCCTATACCGAATAGTAACTTCGTAAATTACCGGTATATACCGTTTCGTAAAATACCGGTACTGGATTTGATACTTTTGTAATTTTGTAAAAAAAAATAATTTAATAGTCAATATGTCAAAAAAAAATAAGAAGATTTTTAAATAAAAACAGCCTACAAACACGTAAAACAAACTATGAATTACTATTATCATGCGGCGAGTACGGCTTTCGCGGCAAACTTGAAGTTTGTGACGCGGCGATATTTTTGTAAAAGTTTTGTGCCGCTTATGTTCAAGATAATAATATTTTTGTACTCGGCAGGAAAATATAATTATTTGAACTGATTTTGCTAAAAGTTTTGTAAGTTTTAAATGTCAAAGAAACAACGAGAAAACAAATCAAATACTTGAGTAATCATCGACACATCGCACACAGTCCTTCCAAACACATCGCACACAGCTTTTGCCGTAATGACAATGTAAATCCAAC